TTCTCCAGGACAATAGCCCTGATCCACACTCTTTACCTTAAAGATAAAGTCAGGAAAAAGGAGGTAAGTGTCCCTCTCAGCCATCTCCAGATGTTACCAGTCCTCAATGGATCTCAGAGGCCTTTGGAAACAATTGAATTGAAGCAGGTTAAATCATCAGTTTTCTTTCCTGGAACTGCCTGGATGGGCTACTTTGGCTTCACAATTAATCCAAAACTAGAAAATTTTCTATAGGTAACTAGCAATGGGTTCCATTAGGTTGATTCCCTAGCTTGAGTATGTAGAAATGTTAAATTCACACAAGATATATTTTATCACTGATAGTCTTTCTTTATCACTTTTCTATTCATCCACCTACTCATCTATACTCAGTATGTCAAAAAATAATCTTACCTGTTTCTCTTTCTCTCCAATTACCTAAACTTAGTGTAAACACATATTCTTTAAATGTAAAATGTAAGGATTAGCTTAAAACCATTTGAAATCCTTTTCGGTACACAATTACTGTTATTTCAAGGTTTTCATATGGAAAGTAAATAGTAGATATATGAGCCAGGTGACAAAGGATAAAAGCACGGTCCGAGGAGTTTTTTGTTTGTTTGTTAATTTTCATAAATCAAGAAAGACTTCTTGGAGAAATAAACAACAGGAAGGAATACATCCTAGATAGAGACAATGTTCTGTGTTGGGAGTCAAAGTTAAAATGAAGAATTTGTTAATTTCAGACTTTAGATGTGAACCAAAATGACTGAACTCCAACTGTAGTTTTCTGGTCTTATACTAGAAAATGTTGGTGGGGTATTATTATTGGACATTTGATAGAGGGATCTTGTGCATCACCCTGAGGACTTGTGTGAAAGAATGGATATTGTTTTATTTCTTATGTAAGACAATGTACCTGGGTAAGAGGATGATGGAGTTTGCAGAAGAGTAGACTACAACTGACAATGCACAGAATGTTTTGGTGACTTCCTAGATTTGATAATGAGTTCAGTCTTCCACAAACTAATAAGTGTACCACACGTGAGACATATTAGAGGAAGTGAAATTCAGTTCAGATTTAAGGATGGATGATCTTGTAATAAAGGTAATTAAAAAGAGACATTGGAACTTCCTCCCTTTGCTCAGAGCATTACATTTTCTAGCCGGAATATGGCTCCATTATGAAAAGCCAATATTGTAAAATTGGCAGACTCTTATGAAGAATAGAGTATTGCATGTTGTCTAAAAAGATTGTAAACATGATTTCTGACCTCAGAAACTTTATTATTTAAATAGATTATGCACACATAGACCTATTCATACATATATATATATACATACACACAGACACATATAGATGAATTTTAGTAATCAGTGATCACTGATTGCTAAATTGCTAATAATATAAATTTTCATGCTTTTCTTTAGAATCCTCTTTTTTAATCCAAAAAATCAACTTAAAACACCTGTTTCTCATGCAGGATGTTTTCAGATGACTTATTGACTTCATTGTCCTTAAATTCCATATATTTTATCGAATTTTTAATCCAAATCCACTGACAAGAACTAGAAATTACTCAAAATTCTGTTTGGCCAGTATAGAGTGTTAGGTATTATGCTTTTATTTAAATGTGAAATTGTAGGATAATTTGCCTACATATGTATGGCATAAAAATAAGAGTCATTAGATACAAGTTATCTCAGCATAATATCATTTCATTCTTTTACTAGAATGATAGGTTTGGGAAATATGAGAGGAAATGGAAATTTTGAAGCTGTTACCTTCACTTGAGGAACATGGAATGAAGCAAAGCTTGCATATCATAATGCTTTTCCTCAATATTTGGAGGATTGCTATTTATTTTGTGTGCCCTCTCACCCACTCATCTGCATGTCCTGGGACTCTCCTGATGAAGGCTCTATGCTGTCTAATCCCTGAGGCATTTGACCAGGGTCAAACCCTACCTACCTCAGTTATGAGATGTAGGACTAGCGATAATATGTTCGAATTTTTTTTTTGAGTTCATATGAGTAATAACTTTCACCTGCGCTTGAAAGATGGAAGGGACTCCCAGGAGTTGTGCAGATAAGAAGAATTTTTCTCCTCCCATGACTTCTGAATGTGGGAATGAAGCAGACCTGTGGAGACAGGAATACAGTGGTGAATTAATTAACCAGGCCTGGTTTCATGGAAATGAAAGATTACTGATGGACACATGGACACTGCCAAGTGGTTAAAATGTACAAAGCACACTCTTTTTAGCTCGAGAATATAGAAAACAATTTAATTACAATCAGAAACCTGTGAAACATGTTAATTTCTCTACAACTAAGTAAATTGATGCACAAAAGCAGATTTTTTTTTTTAGTAAAATTTTCACTGGTCAGTGATAGAATTATCCTAAAAGGATCTGACCATGGACTTCTATGGTTATTTCACTTTACCTCAGTGCTCAGGGTGGAAAAAGGAAAAAGAAAAAGACAAAAGACAAAAACAACTTTAGAGTGTTGGTTAAGTGAACCATATATTAACCCTTTATTATTATAATTCACATTTTCTTCATTTTTCCATAAAGATATCAAGGGAAACAACCAAATTCTTATTGGAATCTTGTTTTAGTGTTGATGCATTGATGATGATCTTTCAGTTTGGTAGACTTTGTAAAAAGAGAAATAAATTAATCTGGCAAGATTGTTTGTATTGAGTACATGCTAAATGTATTTTGATCACTGTTTTCTCTTTTGTGCTTCCTGATACACTTTCTTAGAATCTTTTTGGATTTTTTTAAATCACAAGTAATATCAACCTTTCACAGCAACTTCTTATGCCTATCCTACTTATCAGAGTTTATTAATGTGGATTAGCAGCTAATAAGCAAGTTTCAGAGGGAAAATGAATTTATCTTGAGATTTGAAGGAAGAGTCAAATGTTTCACTCAATAAAAGTATTTAAAATAAACAAGAACAAGAGTAACATTAATTTAGAATTTCTCATATGCCAGAAAAGAAGACACCAATATTTTTTAAACTCACTCTGTTCTCTACCACCCAGGAGCTCAGAGTATGGAAAGGGCAAAAGACATGTACAAGACTTTCAGTAGGTATGACAAGTGCTAAAGAGAAACTCTACAAAGAAGATTGACCTAGAGAGGAGAAAATAACTCTTCCTAGGGAGTTAAGGGATGTATTTATCAATTGCACAAAAAGGCAGAAAATATTCTGGGCATGATAACTCATCTTGAGGAACATATTTTGTTGCAAATTATTTTTTTCCCTTAAAGGAAAACACATATGTGACTTGCAGGTGGTTACCAACAGGGCTTCCATGATTGGTGTGGTGACAATATTCATGAGCAGAAGAAAGCAGATAAGCACCCAGGAGTTAAACTTGTGATCTCAGCCTGGATCTAGTTCTAGATCTTAACTTATTGAAACACTCTAC